GAAAAAAAGAATAGCCAAAAAGTATGGTTGCAAACATACAAAAACACGTGAAATTGTGAGAAATTGCAATTCTTACCTGTGTTTTAATGGTTTATTATTACTATATAGTACTTAACCTAAGTTACCTAACTGTGTACGCTCTCTGAAAAGTCATGAAGTGTTTTGAATCCTAACTTGTAGGGTTGAGTCTAGGGTTGAGATAGTGTCATCAGACATGAGAATATGGCCCACAGTATGCCTCAGATTGCAGGAAAATGGCTTAAATATTTCAAAATTTTCTGGGGGGCATGCCCCCAGACCCCCTAGCTCTGGCATGCCTGCGGCACGCGTGCCTGCCGGCGGCAGCCAAGGTTAATTTCGCCCCCGGCTATCGCCGATCATCACCCCTACTCCTCGGTACGGATTTACGCCCCTGGTTATACCTACTATTTTGCGACTAGACTATTTCAATTATCGGATATTTACGGTGTTTTTACGGTTGATACATATTGTGTGAACTATTACCAGCAACTATGTCAGACTCTAAAAGAAGAGGCCAACGTGGTGCTAAAGGCGGGAACATCAGCACTAGGTCACTTGTAAAAGAACAGCCGGCCTCGTCTAGCATATTACACCTAGTATAGTGATATTCGTGTAGACGATGATGTATTTACTCCAGACGAAAAGTCGGGGGGAATTCAAAGTTAGTCAAAATCGATAGATCAACACAGCGGATTGCAGTAGAAAAGTTTGCAGGGAGACAAAGAGAGGAAGAGAGCGAGAGGAAGAGAGGGGGACAGCGAGAGGAAGAGCGAGGAGGACAGAGAGAGAGAGAGAGGAAGAGAGAGAGGGGGAGACAGAGAGAGAACCAGCGAGGGGCAGGGAGAGAAAGAGAGGAGCAGAGAGAGAGAGAGAGGGGGCAGAGATAGAGAGAGAGGGGAACAGAGAGAGGAAGTCAAAGAGAGCTAGGGGACAGAGAGAGAAAGAGAGGGACAGAGAAAGGGGGTCGAGAGAGAGAAAGAGAGAGAAACAGAGAGAAAAAGAGAGGGAAAAGGGAGACAGAGATAATGTGGCGCCCTCTAGTGGTAAGCAGGAGCTGGTTCACTCCGCAGGTGCAACTCACACGTCTGTATATAACAGCTACGCGGTGCATGACATGTACAAAAATAAAGATAAATATCTGTAAGTGTAAGATAGCAGCTACGCGTAGTATGACGTATATGCTGGTGTGTGATACATGTAAGTAGGCCTACTAAGTATGAACGCGGAACTGCCTGTGCATCCCAACCACGACTGCATATATAAAATGTAACTTATTTTAATGTAACACGTCGTTGTCTTTGTCTGAATACGCGCACGACTTCTCGCCAAAGCTGTCAACATCATTTGTTCGCGGTTTGTTTACCGTTGATGATCATAACTCCGTGTCTGACTGTCGCATGCTCCTGCGATATCAGCATTCTATGTACAACTCTGCTATTACGCGTGTGTATGGTGCGTGTTGTCCGCACATGAATGTTTGATCCCGACCGCGAAAGTATGTGAACTAACGAGAACCAGTACAGCTGACGATCGATACAACAAGATTAGAATTCCAAGTACACAATTCTGTTATTTTACAAAAATTCGGATTAAATACATTGAACAATAAATCGTCTTGTTATTATACCAACAAAATTACTAATCTGATTTTGTTATTTATAATTTTATCATCTTTATTTACAAGCTGGCAGCTCTGTGGTGGACACCAGGTGGCGACGGCTCTGCGCTGGTGGACACCAGGCGGCGGTGGCTCTGCGACAGGCACCAGGCGGCGACAGCTCTGCGGTGGTGGGCACCAGGCGGCGACGGCCCTGTGCTGGTGGACACCAGGCGGCGACGCCTCTGTGGTGGCGGGCACCAGGTGGCGACGGTGTAGGCTGCTTTGTGGCGGCGGCGGTGTGGGCTGCTCTGTGGGGTGGAGGTCCGTCGGTGGATCACAGAATCTGCGCTCTCCTGCAGGGTGTGCCCTGAAAACTGGCGACGTGCACGAAGAAAAAAGACAAAAGGAACAAAGACGACAGAAGGACAGACAAACTTTCACTCGCAACTATCACACACTGCGCCCTCCTGTGAGCGTACGTTCGTGAGGCTTGCTAAATGCAACTTAATAAGACCATAGCGATATTTATTTCCTACCCAGACCTAGCCGCCCGGCTGTCCAAATATTCGTTAATAATTTCGATATTGTCAATGTGACAATACGGCCGAAATCTGTCCATGTTTTTTTGTGGCTGAGTACGGTGGTAAGTATTTGTCAAAGAACCCATGATTGATATGAAAACCTAGAGAATCTTGTCATTTGATCCAAGCAAATGAGTTTCGATATGTTGGCTGAAAAATGCGTCTGTATATGTTTTGACATCACCGAAAAGCTGGCTATTATTGTAATGACAGAACAACCCCACGTTGTACTACCAGGACAGCCATAGAGAAATTTGAAGTACTAAAAATGCGTTTTCGTTATTGAAGTCAATTCCGCGCAATTATTAAACATTAATTTTATTCAACTATCCCATCAGGATGCCAGAGTGTACAGTACCTGGCTTACAGACAAGAGTACAGATGACAGTCCTAGTTGTCACGTTCGTCAATGTGTTAGACTACAACTAAAGATCTATGCACACACGCGCGCACACATGCACACACGCGCACGCACACACCCGCAGCCCACCCCCAACACGCGACCATACAAAACACACAATCGATACGTACATGCCAACATGTGACGTTTGTATTCATGACAAT